AATATAGCGTCCATATCCACAAAAAATTCTCTTCAAGTATTCAGAGTTACATTGACCTAGTGTTAAGCATGTGGGAGTTATGACCCCTTATCATTATACGTGTATGGCCTCTCTGTCGTCGTTTGACGTCATAGAACAAAATCCTTTTTCGACATTTATTGCGAGTCATGTTTAAGATTGAGCGTATACCGTCATGCATAAGCACACACACCCATTTCATATATACTTATGTCGTTCAGATATCAGGCTGTATTTTCTTCGCTCACACTTTCCGTAACGATGCCAAATTAAAAAAATCGTAGCACAGTGCTTTCATCAATACACAATCAAAAGCGGAGATATTTACTGCTTTTTAACGCATAACAAAGATTTGGACAACATATAACAGTGTCTATTTTCTACCGCCGAGGTAGGTGCACTTATATTTAATACCAGCGGATAGGAAATTTAATATTTTACATTTCTATGTAATTTTATAGCCATACGCAGATCCTGGACCACGTATGCGCAATTCTCGCACTACGTTCATTTTTCAAGTGTTATGATTCCCAGATCTTTCTTTGCGACGGAATCCAGATTGATCAATCCGGATGTGACGTCAAATAAACGAGCAGAGCGTTTTAAATGGCAGCCTATACCGGCTCCTAGCTTTGTCGAACGTTAGCGCGCGCAAAGGGAGCCGGGAACCAGCTTATCATGTTATGCTAAGTCATCGCTGCGCCGGAGTGTGTCGATAACCGGCAACAGTTTGACGTCACAGAGCATTGTTTTTGGTAACAATGTTTCGCAAATTACGTCATAAGGTATTGTGATGTAATTTGTAAAGTTTGAGGTGGTGTATATTCTAAAGGTAGGCCCAGAAATGGGCTTCATACATTGTACCAGGGATACTCTACAACAGGGATAACAGGCGCGGGTACAGCTTTTTCAGAAAGGGGGGGTGCACACTATTGAGCAAAGGAGGGGTGCACACTTCTTTACATGAGAGTTTCAATGGTCATTTAATAAACTTTCAGGGCAAGGGGGAGGGACCCCTGCACCCCCAACCCCCCCTCTGGATCCGCCTATGGATAGGTCACTCGCTTGCTTTCTTTACCATTCGTACTAATGAACGTGTGCCTCGTCATGCTCCAACGCACACAGTGGCTTGGTTCGTTCCAAGCGCAACTTCGGCTTCGTTTAAAGGTCACATAAACCCTAGGGGGTAAAAATACATAAATCACTAACTCGCATCATTATAAATGAAACCCCGTCATTAAAACTACTCATTTCGACCTTTAATTGACTTAAATCGTCCTTTTTGACAACAGTGCACAATTCTCACCCGCGAACGAAATTTCAACCAATCAGAGCGGCGCGACTCTGTGACGTCATATGAGGAATAGCTAGGAGGGCCTGTGCAGAATTCATCTACATTTTAGGGGTTAAATTATCTTGTTTACAGGCTTGTATAAACCTGAAATCGTGACAATTGTTGTGGAAAATGAAAGCTATATGTTCTCACAATCTACTGTCATTTAATTTTGTCTCATGCTTTGCCTAGTTTCCGAGTTACAACTTGTTTTCATAGACGATTCTGTCAAAATCGATTGGTGTCGTTAGGCCCTATTTGTATAATGACTGATCCAAATTGATCCCATTTCTGTGTTTTTTTTACCTCGATATTTAATCATGTCATGTAAAAATCTGTTTGTATTCTCAAAACAGTGTCGGCCCATAAGTTTTCACATGCAATACAGCAATTAATACTCCCTTGTTGTAACCCTTGTTAGGTGGTATAAACCTACACATGTTATTTGTCATCATTCACTTGATGGTCAGTTAATGAATTTATAACAGGTATAATTAGTGGTAACACACTTAAATTACCCGACAAAGGTTCCCATTTGGCATTTCTTGTGTCTGGAGTAAATATTCAACATTATAAACATCGATCAAAGGATTAACCGATAACACGCTGATTGATTAATTACTTTTATCTTACACAGCGGAATTGTCAAAATGTAGTGTTTATGTATGTAGATTTACTAATCTATACTGAATACACTCTGTCGTGTCGGTGTCTGCGTAAAAACAACGTCCTTCTTTCAAAGGATTAACCGGCAATACATTGATTGATTGCCCATTATTGGCTAACTAAATTACTGTTTTTAAAGAAAGGCGGACATTATGCAATTAGTTGCCAGGTGTGCTATCTTGGGTGACCAATGAGACTATACATCAATACCTGAAAAGATTTATCACTTTTTCGTATATTAAACTGTTAAAAGACACATCATTTGGAACAGTTTTGTGGATATTGATGGATACATTCCTCGAACAAGGTAATGGCCTGATATTGTTCCTATAACTTTAATCTGTTTTAATTTTAATATTTGCATTTTGTTTTTATTCATTTGTCGTAGCATTCAACAGAATCATTGTTTTCGCCGTGAAGTGTAATGAGACAGGGTGTGTGTGCGAATTATGATTCACATTGGCAAACTATAAAATGTCTAGATATTACAGTTCTGTTATAAATTCACTATAAGTATCAGCAGATCGTCTGCTTTTTATTTAGTTTCAAAATGCATACAAGTATGATAATAAACTAATTAGGATTATAAGACCAAATATAAAGACGCACATTGACTAGTATCTACATACTGGTGAGTGGACATTAACCATGGGAATGTAGCAAGAAATTTATCGCGTAGTATTGTGACTTCGACCCCACCTCGCTTCCGTGGAAGAAATCGTTATGTTATAAGTTGTGTCATGCAAAATCCGTTTGGTTATGATTCCAATACATATTTAACTACGAGTAGAAAGTAGTCTTGATTTTCTAACTTGATGAAAACAAACTATAATCTCATTAATTCTAACAGATTTTTTTATTTTTAAAATGGCGGCGCCTCTGTCGGGAACATCCGCCAGTCTGAGGATAAATGGTATTTAGGTTTGTTTCCACCGAGTTACAAAATCAAAACTACTTTCTACTGGTAGTAAAATATGTATTTTATTGATGGCCAATAGGATTTTGCATGACAAAGCGTAAAACATAACAATTTCTCTCGTGGCAGCGAGGTGGGTGTCAATATAATACTACTTACAATATTATTGTTACTTCGACCAGAACCTCACTTCCTAGGAAGAAATCGTTATGTTACAAGTTGTGTCATAGAAAATCTTTATGGTCATCAATCATATGCATATTTTACTACAACTAGTAAGTAGTTTTGATTCTTTAACTTCCGTGAAGCGATCTGAACACAAGTAAGATATCGTTTCAGGCTTCCACAACTCTCGCTTCGCACTCACAAACATAACCCATTTAGCACGAACTGCGGGGTCCTGTGGAAATCTGTGCATGGGGACACCATCGCCCGACCCCTAGGAGCAATTGACGACAAAGCAACGATTCAGCATGTCGTCGTTGATGTCGAGAAATCATCAAAATGATGAGCGTGCTACACATTTTCTACACAACTAACTGAAAATCGTTCCTCATATGACGTCACTGCAGTGCTCTGGCGACAGAGTTACGTAACCTGTCTGTGGTTTCGTTGGCGGGCGAGAGGGAAGCAGGCGACTTTTTGGCAACTTTTAATCGCTCGGTATTAAATAACCACAAGTTTTTAAAGAATAAATTTGGTGTTCCGCATAAGACTAACCACAAATCTTTCATATGTAATGGTTAAAAGAGTAACAAAAAACAAAGTTTAGTGGTTCTTTAACAGTACTTCAGCCAGTGTATTGTATCAGTCGGAATTTTACAATGAATGAATGAATGAATTAAGAGCAAGAATTATATGTGAATGAATGAAAGAAATAAAGAAAAGAACAAAAGAAAGAAATACATATGTGAATGAATGAAAGAATAAATGATACACCACGGCCATCCCTCCCCAAACATGTTAAAGAACGCAAAACTATCGGTAGAACACGTGTTAACATCAGCTGTCCTTTTTTAAAAAATCTACTTTGAGACATTTTTGTTACATTAGTAACTAATTCAGATATCTTATTGCATGTGGGCATTGACGGAATGTTAACTGACACTGTCACACACAATGCATTTAAGTTGTAAAATGAATGAATTCACGTGTTTGTTATGAATGAAAAAATATCGGTTATCAAATCAAATCGTTAGAATCTCAGGTCAAGTCGTTACGACACAGGTCAACGCGATACGACACTCGTGTGACGTACGAGATTAGTAAGCAACTACCCATACGTTGACCACGTGGGTAATAAAATTACGAACGTTAGGGTTAGGCGGGTAGATATCCGATGAAATCACACCGTCTATTGAGCTCCGGCAGTTTGGGGTTGGTCACCGATATTCCGGATTGGTCAAAATCCAAAATGGCGGCCACTCGGCGGCTACCACCCGTTTTTTTCCAAGGGAGTTTAATAAGGTGTTGTTTTAATGCCAGCTAAGGCTTACATCATTTATTGGGATACTTTTCTATCATACGATTCTATGAACTAAAGCTATTAGGTGCATTATCATAGATAATTTGTCAGGTTTTTCGTGTTGAATTTCAGATTCCCACAAAAATTGGTATATTATTGCTTCTTTCTTGATAACGAGCGACAGTTGGTAACTGTCACCACGCATAATTGTAGGGGAGACCCTCTGCTACATGGGGAATACGGTATCGTTGAGACAAACTACTACATTTGGCCGTAGAAATGCGTTTTCCAACGCCGGTCAATGCTATTAGTGTACGGGTTGGTTTGGCATACACTGCAGGGTTGGTCACTTTTTCTAAACAGTTGGTGTACGGGTTGGTCATAATATTTTTCTGAACTTGATACTTGTCCTATTTTACTGTGAAGTGTGAATGCAAAGACACATTTGTGATACTGCATAAACCAAACGTTATCTCAGTTACTTTAAGGAGACTTTCCACAACTTTTCTCACGCTCAGAGGCACAGATATCAGTGTGCTGCCTTGACCATATCTCAAAGTATATAGCCTAACTGAATGAAAGTGTGCAATCCAGTAACTGATTTAAAGCTTCGACATATTTTTGGGACCGTCAAGCTCATGGAAATATTCATCCAAGGCCTCCACAACCGTTGCACTGCTACAACAGAAAAGTGGACACACTTACCATTGGAAGAACATTTTTCAATGATCTATCTTTTATACTTTTTCAGGATACGTTAAATGTGACAAGACCAGATTCACTTTCACGTAGCAACGGAAGCTACTCTTGTAATGACTTAAAAACAATTAAAAAAATCCTCAAAAATAGCATTGTTTTAATTGCCATTTATCAATCCAAAGAAGTTTCCGAGAAAAATACTTGTACAAATTTCATTAACAGAACATCAACAAGTCTATTGACACCAATTATTCTTCCTATTAAATTTCACAACCGGTTCCAATGTTCACAGTCCCAAGACCCGTGAAGATCCGGGGTAGAATAGGTCTTCAGCAACCCATGTGCTTGCCATAAAAGGCGACTAACGGGATCGGGTGGTCAGTTTCGCTGACTTGGTTGACACATGTCATCGGTTCCCAATTGCGCAGATCGATGCTCATGTTGTTGATCACTGGATTGTCTGGTCCAGACTCGATTATTTACAGACCGCCGCCATATAGCTGGGATATTGCTGAGTGCGGCGTAAAACTAAACTCACTCACTCACTCACATTCCCAAATTTGGGAGATTCAGGAAATATTAATCTACTTTTATTGAATGAGGTGAGGTGAGGTGAGGTGAGGTGAGGTGAGGTGAGGTGAAATTGGGTTTAACGTCGTTCTTGAGAATATTTCGCTCATATGACAACGTGCATGCGTGTGTATGTGTATGTGCGGCTGCTTGTACTAGCCCAGACTTCAGCTGGTTTTATAGTGCTAGCCCACTGAGATACCATGCCGTAGTGAAGCATGAATACCCCACTCAGACACATTATACTGACTCCGAGCCGACCAGTCCTTGTTGTACCCATTAATGCCGAGCGCCAGGCAGGGACCAACAAGTACCATATTTTAACGTCTTTTGGTATGACGCGGTCGGGGATCGAACCCGCGACCTTCCGCTCTCCGGGTGGACGCTCTAACCACTACACCACGGAGGCGGTCACTTTTATTGAATGACAACACATTCAAGTGCTGTGACCAAACCGTATACCGTCAAATGACCAACCCGCCCACTACTAACAAATGAGACGTGACCAATCCGTACACCCAACGGCGAGGGGGTGCCTCACAAGACGGACAATTTCAACAATTGAGAGCAAATCTGGTAACTCTGAATATGGCGCACTGATTGGTAAGATATCAAAGAGGATTTCTCAAGCTATAATACACGTTCCTAACAATAATAATTCAACGTTCCTATTTTTCTCGATGAAATTCATGACAACCGTGTGAACTTTAGGTGAGTGAGTGAGTTTGGTTTTACGCCGCACTCAGCAATATTCCAGCTATATGGCGGCGGTCTGTAAATAATCGAGTCTGGACCAGACAATCCAGTGATCAACAGCATGAGCATCGATCTGCGCAATTGGGAACCGATGACATGTGTCAACCAAGTCAGCGAAACTGACCACCCGATCCCGTTAGTCGCCTCTTACGACAAGATAGTCGCCTTTTTATGGTAAGCACATGGGTTGCTGAAGACCTATTCTACCCCGGATCTTCACGGGTCGTGAACTTTAGGAAACTGAGGACTTCATAGAACAATTGCTATTAAACCACATATATTTCAACAATTGATCTGCTTAGTGGTCGACGTCTGAAATTATAAAAATGTTAAATATGAATATATATTATCTCTTTTTGTCCATTCAAAGGCTCGAAGCGCGACATGGCCGCCATGTTGGATTTTGACCAATCCGGAATATTGGTGACCAACCCCAAACTGACGGAGCTCAATGGACGGTGTGGAAATGCGTCTGTACAATTTGTTGGTGTGTTTCCTTTCGCATTTTCAATACTGTTTTCACACCTATAACGTCGAAAGTACACGATGAAATGATTTAATGTCGAAAATTTGATGATTCGAAGGCTAACTCACCCTCCTGCCGTCACTAGACATGCTCGTGTCTCCCTTATTCCTTAGTGAGATCCACATTATCCCAAATTACTATGTTCCCTGCAACATTCTTCTGTCATAAAATCACGCGATGATGCATACCGTGAATCTGACGTCTGACGCCTAACGTCAACAGCCATTTTCAGTTCAAGCCATATCGGCCCATTCCTCCCACGCGGTATCTTAGAGGCAGGAATGTTATGGACGTCAACTTCTTTATTGTGGTGGACACGACGTTTCGGAGTAATCACTTTTAAATGCCATTCAAAAACTCTACACTCAGTATATTGTAGATTAGGGAATGGGACGAGTGTGCCAATCGGCACCGGGACCATTCGTCAATTGTCCGAAGCTAAAAATCACGCGATACCAAGTCTACCCCATTCGTAACTACTCGTCCCTTTCCGTAACCTGAAAGAAGATCTAATGGAACACTAACGGGGCGATGTGGTAGCCTAGTGGTTAAAGCGTTGGCTCGTCACGCCGAAGACCCGGGTTCGAATCCCCACATGGGTATAATGTGTGAAGCCAATTTCTGGTGTCCCCCCACCGTGATTTTGCTGGAATATTGCTAAACGCGGCGTAAAACCAAACTCAGTCAGTCAGTCTAAACACTAACCGTAAACCGACACCTAAACCCCTCAAAATAATCCTAACAAATAAAATACATTGACCGAAGCAGTATGAAAATGGCTGGCGTGTTCAGTGTGAAGCAGTCTTACCGCTTCGAAATGTATAATCTAAATAAATAAATAAACTCTGATTCTTGTGTAATGATGCAAATTACTGACTGAAAAAAATTGTGTATATAAGTTCCCATTTATAATTCATTTAGTCCTGAAATTACGTTGAAAGCGAAACATAAAATATATTTAAAATATAAGTGCTTTCATAAGCTGGCGCTTGATACATATGCACAGCCATCGACGTCAATGTTTAGCACACAAACTCCCTACAGCACTTGGCTTACTACTACTGCGAGACGGAAGAACATTGAGCTTAGAAAACACCCCATAACCCACTCTCCTACCCAGAGTTCCATGCGGCAAGCCAGCATAGTCCCTCTGCCATTAGGCCAGAAAGATGTGACGATTCGTCACATCTTGCAACCGTCCATTCAATATAATGTACATATTTCTTAACTCTTTTATTTTTGACGAGTCTACACATCTAATTAAACATCTTTAATAGAATGGTTTAGTTTCACTGGGAAAATATCCTAAAACATGTAACACTATTTCGATTTGAGTAGCGATCTTTTACATAGGTTGTACGGCTCCACGTGCAGTCATCGAAGCCGACGGAGAGCAAACGATGCAGCCAGTTTGATATCTAATATGTACTGTCATAAACCTTACTGTCGAAGTTGTAGAAGAATATTTATGCAACAATGTAAAACATTGTAAAGAGCGCGCCGAAAAGCTTGCGAAGTCTCTTCTTATTATGAATATGCGCGTTTGTTTGCAAACAAGAGAAAAGTCCTGTCATGTGATATGCAAATTAGCCTGTGGCAGTCATGTTATGTAAGCTGGGCCCCGTCTCGCATATCGCAATATCGTCATGCATAAACGCACACAGTGGCTTGGTTCGTTCCAAGCGCAACTTCGGCTGCGTTTAACAGTACTTCAGCCAGTGTATTGTATCAGTCGGAATTTTACAATGAATGAATGAATGAATTAAGAGCAAGAATTATATGTGAATGAATGAAAGAAATAAAGAAAAGAACAAAAGAAAGAAATACATATGTGAATGAATGAAAGAATAAATGATACACCACGGCCATCCCTCCCCAAACATGTTAAAGAACGCAAAACTATCGGTAGAACACGTGTTAACATCAGCTGTCCTTTTTTATAAAAATCTACTTTGAGACATTTTTGTTACATTAGTAACTAATTCAGATATCTTATTGCATGTGGGCATTGACGGAATGTTAACTGACACTGTCACAGACCCTCAAAAACAGAAAGTTTAGAACTATCACAAAGCGTTGTAAACACCTTTCCAGTTTTGTCACATACTAAGATCAACAAGAAAGAAAGAAGTTTTAGAACTATAACACTCAAGCATCACAAGCACCAATGGCGTATCAGAACAGATCGGCGATATGTCATATTTTTCACACACCTCAAATACACCCTAACACATTTTTTAAAATTATAAAACTATCACTATTACTTGCAAACACCTTTCACCTGATGGTATATTCCCCTCATAAAAATTAAAGGTGTAGGTGAAAGATGTTTTAGAACAATAACTAGAAACACTCAAACAACGCCCTGTAGTATTTCAATGGCAGATCGGCGATATGATGTAAATGTTATGTTTTTGTTTGTGCAGAAACAGGTAGTACGTACCTCAGTACATTCATCTTGGCACAACTACATTGCGTCATATACAGTATCATAACAATCTATCATATTATCTCGCTCCCTTTTATAGTCCAACTATACCTACTCACCGGTTCTCCCCCGCCTCTCTCTCTCTCTCTCTCACACACACACACACACACAATCTTTAACTTCGTTGGTCCATCGGTCGCAACTTTCATACTATTCACTTCCGCATACAGTTTCGTATTCTACTTCCGGTTAGCACCGTACATCTAGCTCGTTAATTATATATATTTTTTACCCACGTACTCCTACTTTTCTTTTACAAATCATATAAATCCCCTATATATATATATTTGTATCAAATCTTAATAGCTCATAATTAGCGTTACATGTGCATGACATCGCCTAAGCCTGCGTACATGCGGTTCCGCGCATGCACTCCATGTTCCTTTGTCTCGTTCAGTCTAGCGCCATGTTGGTCGCTATTTCGAAGCCCACCTCCACCCCAGGCTTCCTCCTTGGAGCTGTGCTCGGTTCAACTTACCTACTCCTTTCACTACATGTTCTCAGTTCTAACCTATACTTAAGTTAATACATACTATCCTGGGGGGCATTGTAATTCATAATATATCCCCCAATTCTCATAAATCAAATTCTTCTATCTTCACCCTGCGCAGGCCGGCTAATGCCTCTGCACATTAAGCT